ACTCAAAGCACAAAACACACATATATTGAACTATTCTAATATCTTGGCCCAACACCTAGGGGAAAAGCCAGGTCTTCACGTTTTCCCAGAAGACCAAAAGAGTCGGGACCCTCCAGATCTCAAGGAGGAGGCTGTTTCATACGGCAGATGCTATAACAGAGAAGGCCAGGAAATGGGCTAGTTTTGAAGAGTTTGCTACTACTTTAGGTGTTGATCCTTTTGTTTGCCTCTTACTACTTCTGATTTTCCCTAATTGCTAATGTTTTTGTCCTCCTTAATATCAAGCTGATATCCATCTCAACTTACTTTGCAAGGCTGAAAAACTCTGCATCCTAAGGATAGATGCTCAAGGTCCAGGATAAAATCATCCTCAAAACTAGACATGTACTGTACGTTTTGCTGGAGATAATTTCTAGTTTTAATTTGAAACAGAGCCTAGTTCTCCCTCTTTTTTCCCCCACTCCAATCATTCCACTGGAGCATCCCTCATACTTGGAATGTTTGCAGGGTACTGATCATTTATAGCAATTACACTTCTTTCTTTTGAAAAGCCTAAAGACTACTTCTAACCCAAGAAGAGTTCTCTAATGTCACCCTAAAGATATTCAAATTTAATCACTGCCACTAATATCATTTGCTACAGTTAGCAAGCCTCCTAAAGATTTGTGTGGTCATTCTACAAATAGTACTATTTAATTGGATGCAATCAACCAGGATGTTCCATTTCTAGCAGGTATATGGACAAAAGCATCTCAACATTGTTAACACTACTATCTTGATGTTGAGATCCTAACAGAAAACAAACTGATTTAATCAAGCAACAGTGTCATCACTCTTGGATTACACCTACAGGTATATCACTCATATATGTGATGCACAACAATTATAATAAAAAGGAACATGTTTCTTACCTGTAATTGTGATGTTTCAAGTGGCCATCTGTGCATTCTCACAACCTACTTCCATCTCCTCTATACATGCCTTGAGTTATATATAAAAAGGCAGAATAAAAATATAATAATAATAGCAGCCAAAGTACAAATAACTTGTTTTTCCTGTGATGCTGTAGCAATCTCAGGAAACTGAGAGGAAAAACAGAAAGCATGTTCTAACACATCTGCAATCAAAAAAATGATCTTCCCATCTAAACTCAGCTTTGGAAGATTCCTGAAGTAGGTTTTGCACACAGGTGATCACTCGAAGAACCATCATTATTGTTGAGCAACCTGTTCTTATTGTAAGAACTGACAAAAGAAAATGGATGTTTTAGAATTAAATATTGGGCTATTTCTAAGCTCTAAATTGTAGGATTAGAATTACTTACCTCTATTCTAAGAAAGCTTTACAACTGTCATAGGAAAATCCTATTATGTTGTAACACCAAAGATATTTTTTCTGACATCAGGCCTAGGCTCTTTTTACCTACCGTGCCTAATCTCAGAAGGAACTATAAATATTCAAATGGTCTTTGAATGTACAGTACATGTAGAACCTTGTTTACTGGGGACTTATGTTACTGCCCTAAAAGCAATTGTGCCTGTTTTAGCAATATATTGTTTAATAAGGAAATTTGTTTTGTCTGCTCTGCTACTCTACCACCTACAGATAATAAGACGACTAGCTATGACAAGGAATGAGGATGGCATTTTTTGCTCAGATGGTGTCCATGTTGCTTGATGATAAATGGTCAGGTATGTTATAGTTACTTTATATTTTGCATGTTTGCTCCTAATTCACTGCAGGCTAGGAATGTTACTGTATTAGGTCATTTAATACTGTGGGTATAGCACTTATAATATTGCTATTAGAGAATATTAATTAGCCTATTGATGTTCTATATTCTTTTAAAGTTTTGATATGTTTAAAATAGTGTATCTGTTTAATGTTAATGTTAATGTTAATGTTAAGTTTATAACATTTATAATTCATAGTAATTAAATGTGAATTGTCTAATCTGTGTTTACTTAAAAGAAAGTAAATAATTTTAATAAACTAAAATTATTATAATTTAGTTGATTATGGTCATAGACCAGAACAACTTAAAGAGTAAGAAAATAATAAAATAGATGCGTCAAAATAAATCATGTTCTAAGTAAAACGGTATACCAAAAACACATAAAAAATTACTTTAACATAAATAAAATAATCAAGTTCACCCCACCTGAAGCAGTCATTTGCATTCCATCATTGCTGGTGTACAGAATCTGGCTAGATTACCTGAGATTTCCACCTCTTGATCAAGCTAATAAGAGGTTGAGGTAATCATCCTCAGTCCTGCCTAGGTATCATGTTATAAATGGGAAGATACATAGAACTATTGAAAATACTATAATTTTTGTTTTTTGATACTGTATAACTAAGTCATTATCTGTCAGTAGGAAGCAATTTTCTTAATGTTGTCCTGAGTCCAATGGGTAAGGTTAAAATAATGGTTGAATTGTCTATATATAAAAGCAATGCAGTAAGTCTGCCAGCCAGACTTGCAGGGTGAAGTTTTGGAGTTATAAGCTTTTCCCTCATATCATTGATATAGAAGTTAAACAGCAAAGGATCTAAAATACACCCTTGTTAAACATCCCTGAAGGTAAGTACCACAGCAGAAAGCTAACCTGAATGGTCAAGTCTTATTTGAATATATGTGTTATCATCCAACATTTTAATAAGTGCCAGCAGGAGTCTATCAATAGTTGAAACTTCTAATTTTTTTCACATTTTTGCTCCAGAAATGGAGTCAAAGCTGTTTTAAAATCAGTAAATGCTGCATACAGGATATCTTTGGAGGCTGATATATTTCAATAGGATGGTCCCAGTACATGTATCAGTTGACCATGACTGAAGAAAATATTAATGTAGTTCTACAAATAAAGATGAAGGCTGAATTTAGCTATATATTAACCTTACTAACCAATAATATATTGAACAAAAAAACTAGCTCACTTTAAAATGGCCATGTAAACCTCAATTACACTTCAAATTGACCCAAAATTCCAAGTATGACACAATAAAATTGTTCATATGATAAGTTATATGCATGAAAACAGCAGATACACATGTAACTATTTTGGTGCATGCATTCAAAAGGAGAAACTGTGATTATAATTGCAGCAATTTACATGCAAACTAAACGTTTTTTCCTATACATTTCTCCTTACTGATGAAAGGGTATCATAATACATGAAATGGCCCACAAAACATTATGTAAAACATATGTATCTGAAATCATTATGTGAATGACATAATCATGTCATAAAGAAACCCATGAAATATCCCAAGCAGCTATCAGAAGTACCCTTTTGCATTATTATTTAATACCTTTTTCCTGATTTTAGCATTACTAAAATATAACTGAATTTACTATTTTTGGTCCTCAGGCTAAAGAATTCATCAGGCATTCAATTAAAACATTCAGGAAGTTTTGTTCGTTATGTTTCTGATATGCAGTAACTCTGCTACAAGGAGAGGAAAGGAAATGTCTTCCAACTTCCTACATGGATTTCAGAATTATCCTCCCATAGAGCCAGAGATAAATTGCTGTTCAAAATGGAATATAGATATTTCTGGTGCATGGAGCTTCAGATATATCAAAATTAGATATGATTCCATGGATTTTACTGATTCAATGTGAACAGACTTTGGGAACACAGAGGGGGCAGCAAGACAGTTTAGGGAGGAAACAGGACCATTACAGAAAAGATACTTGAGTCTAGGGGAGGGGAAAAAAGAGACTCAGAGTAACTCTAGTATAATTATACTAGAATGTGGGACAATCGCTTTGGTTGGCTTTCAAAATTCCATAACATTATACTACCAACAATAAATATACAGTGGTACCTCGGGATACGAACTTAATCCGTTCCATGACTCTGGGCGTATCCCGAGTTGGTCGTAACCCGATGCAAATTTCCCCATAGGATTCAATGTAAATCCGGTTAATCCGTTCCGCCCTCCGAATTTGGTCGCACCCCGAAGCAAATTTTCCCATAAGGTTCAATGTAATTACCGTTAAGCCGGTCTGGCGGCCGCGGGCCACGGGCGGCGGGGCGGGAAAGCGGCTGGGCGCCGTGCGGCGCGGCGGGAAAACAGCCAGGCGCCGCGCTGCGGGGCAGGAAAATGGTCGGGCGACGCGTGGCGCAGCGGGAAAACGGCCGGGCCCCGCCGCGGACCACATGTCAGGGGCGGAAAAATGGGTGCAGACCACGTGTCAGGGGCGGAAAAATGGGTGCAGACCATGTGTCAGGGGCGGAAAAATGGGCGCAGACCACGTGTCAGGGGCAGAAAAATGGGCGCAGACCACGTGTCAGGGTGGAAAAATGACCATACCCCAAGGCGGAGTTCGCACTTTGAGGTAAATTTTTGCGGCCGGGGCTGGTCGTAACCCGAAAAGTTCGTTAGTAGAGGTGTTCGTATCCCGAGGTACCACTGTATTTCCAGAAAACCAAGTGGTACTTGTTTCTTGAGCCTGCCAGTCTCTGAGGGCTTGACAGACTGCATTAAAAGTGATTAACATTAAATTTAAGCAATAGAATGCAGTTTTCTCAAGAGGCAGACTTGACAGCTAGTGATTTAAAAGATCAAAGTTTGGTTAAAAGACATCCATAAAACCATGGCATATCTTCCAAAATCATGTCCACAAACATCAAAAATTCAACTGGAAATAAAATAATGATTAAAATGGCCAAAATCTCATGAGAATTTAACATTCTTTCATAAAAGTTTACAAAATCTTGTTATGAAGTACAGCAAATCTTGTGGATTTAAAAATCTTGTAAGGATTCAGAAGATTTTGCTGGGGTGGGGGAGGTACTTAGGCCACTGAAGTTTGTTAACCTCTGTGACGGGGTGTTGCGTCAATATGGTGATGACGATTATAGATTAATTTATTAATTTTGATCATTATGATTAGTCAAGCTTAATAACTCTGAGATCAACATCATTTTAAATTAAAGAACTAACCGAGATTTCTTTCAGATAATCACAATATGTTGTAATTATTTACTCACAATAGCATCTATTTGTTCCAGAATTTTCATAAACTGCTCAGCGGTTCCCTTTATCCGCTTATCCAACTGACTAAGAGCTTCAGTTTGATTATTCTTTGCAAGAAAACCCTATATGGAAAATACATTTTTTCACATTATGCTTATTCATAACTTAATTGGATATAGACATTTTTATTATAAAGGCTAGAGCAATACTCTTATAATTTGTATAGTTTTGTAATTAAGTAATTCCATATATACAACAAACAACATATGTCCAACTTCCTAGGCAGACAAGCACTGACCCATATGAGTATAAATAAAATTTACTAATACACGTCAGTAAGCATACATTCGCCATTCACTTACATTTATTCATCAACATCACATACCCAAGTGTCCTTCATACGCTGACTTCTATTTTCTCATGTTGCCTTCTCTTCTTACTGCTACACGCACTGCCTGTCTTCTATCTCAACTCTGCATACATATAGACCTTCCCCAATAGCATATGTACAGATCACACATACTCTTACACCTCCCCACTATTGGCTGGATGGGTTATCTTGAGATCCAGGCTCTACCTTAATATCAACAACACGCATAGTCAAACACATATCACTCTTACCCCACTGGGAGGACCTTCCAAAATCTCATCTAGAGTGAGTCTATCACAATTCTAGAGTAAAATACACATGATCTGCACTCAGGGTTACACTTATACACATCTCAGAGTATATAGCAATTGTTCTGAAGAAAACTCATTTTCATATTCATACACAGATGCTTTTGTCCATATTGGTCTTCAGATCGGTTAGCATTTTGCTAGAAGAGATTGACAACTGATTAGTTTTAAACTGACAAATCTATTATTGACTTTTATAGATACACATGAACTATTGAAATGAAAAAGAAACTTACTTTCTGAATCTCTCTAAGTTCTTTATTTACTTCATCTATTTTTTTAGCTAGCTGTTCCACTGATTTCTCCAAAACTTTTAATTTCTTTAATTCAGTCTCTTCCTCAGGACTGTTCTGTGTAAGACAAGAGAATATTACTATCATGAAGTATCTGGCTCGATGTTATGGATGCATTCAGATAAAAGAAAAAATGTTATTATAGTCATAGATCAATATACTGTATACAGGAACAAATGAATGCCACCCATAAATCACAACAAAAGTTACAGTAAAATTTTCAATGAGCAGGAGACTTGAATATATGACATAAGCGCACCCATATTCTACTTGTCCTTAAGTTGATGCCTGATCTTACAGACAGGTTAGCAAAATTTTGCAACTTGGAAAGGGTTGGTTATCCATAAGAAATTTAACATAAAATTCTTTAGGAAATCCAAAAATACTTCTAATCAGAAACATTTACAGTACTGAAATAACATAAAGTTCAATAAAGTAGGACACGTGCCATCATTTCAATGACACCCAAACCCCACAGGCAAATTCTATCATTGTAGGGAATGCCTTCCAATGAAGGAAGAATTTCCAAGTGATTGAGTATAAGTCCTCAGCAGTCTATGGGGAAAGTGATATGCTAAGCTAGCTCTTCTGGTTTCAGGTGGTAACATATTTGCCTATAGCTGAGTTTCTGGAGCAGATAACAATCTATAATTGTCAAAATCTACAGGTTTTTGCTTTAGCGCAACCTCTGCTTGATTACAGATGCTATAATAAGTTGAAATATATTTATGACTGAGAAAGAGGGGATCATCCTTTTCATGGCCTGTCCTCCAAATCCTGCTTCTAAGAAGCAAGTATGTGGCTACACTGCAAAGAGTCATTTTACTGCAGATGTTCAATAGAATTAATGGTTTCATATCTGCTAACCAAAGTATTGCCCGTTTCTTTAGTATGCTTCAGGATTTATTCACATGATTGAGGGGAAGAAAGTACAGTTAACTTGAGTCTGAAGCAGGAGACCCTGAAATAATGGAGGATCCTGACAATCTTATTGACCAATATTAATGAGTTTTTAGAGCTATTCTTGGACCACAAAGCTGAAAAACTCATAAATTTTGCTAATAAGGTACTGCCTCCTCTGTAGGGAAGAGATTCTGCAACCTTCATAATTAAATGGAGAACTACAAGGGATTGCTGTGACATGGCTAGATGTCCTAAAGAAAAGATGTTCAAGGTTTTAGACTCCATTCCTATCACTTATAACCTGGCAGAAAAAAACATTCTGTTCTGAAGTTGTAAGGTTTCCTTTGGAAAAATTCTGGTAAAAGTTTAAATAATAAGAATAAATCAACGGAGGGGAAATTTTTTAAATAACAGAAACTAATAAGATTTAGACCATGCTACCAAGCAAAATGGATGCAATTAGTGGATAACCATACCACTGAAATCAAGAATTTGGGTTAAAAAGAGATCTTTCACTACACAACCTATCTTCTGTTCATAAAAGTGCAGTTTCTAAGCTAGTACTGCATGAAAATCAATAAGGTTTTAGGAATGTTTTTTTGTTTAAATTGTTTCTTACAATCTTTTAATGTACCACTAGTGTGGGCCGGATATGTCAAGTTCAATTTGTCATGAGTGCCATGTAAGGACTAGCTTATTAGCCTGAGGTCTGCTATACTGAAGCTTTTTCATACAGTGAGACAAAAAATGAAGACTACTACAGTATACTATTAAACATTAATTTATTAAATAGCAGAAAGAAATAGAAAGGTGCAGGCAACTATAAACACAGCAATACAATAGCTACTAGAAGTAGGGCAGCTGCTTGACTATATGTAGGGCAGCAGCCTGACAAGAAATGGCTCAGCACCCAGTCAGGGCAAGGTGAGAGGCTGATGCACTCCTTACTCCACATTAAGGCACTGTCATAGCCAGGAACAGGGCCTATCAGCTTGCCTCTAGTAGCAGTGGTAGTAGCAGGAGCCATTACTTTTTTCTTCACATAAGGATGGATCTATAGTATATGGCCAAGACCAGCAAGGTACCCTACTGTGTGTGAGAAGCAGGTACACAAAATTACATGGGGGCCATTTTGATTTTGAAAACCCTGCTACAAGCTGCATATTGATTATTCATTGTCTTTCTTATACTGTAAAACAGCTTTCCATTAATTGAACTGTTTCATGTACTGCGTTAAGCCATTAATGGGATTTGTTAGGTTCTGACTTCCTATGTTATGTGAACCATGCCACTGTAGTTTATTCAACAAAACATGGCAAGAACAAACCATGACTTTCTACAGTATATGAGCCCAGTTATACTAGTGTGCTGAACAGAAATCTTTTGGTGGCAGTTGTGTAAGAGTTCATTAAATAACATAAATATATACATGTAAACTGGGGGTTTGCATTTAAATGGAACAAAAGCAACAAATGCAAAGTTAAATTTTCTTATCCCCTTAATCTGAGCTTGAGGGCATAAAATGAAATAAAATGACATAAAAGTTCCAAGAACAGGTGGACCAGAAAACAATGCTATCCTACGTTTATCACATACAGGACAATTCACCAATGTCACTGATTTGCAAAATTCAATATAGACTTCATAAAATCAGGGTTACCCTTTTTCCAATCAGCATGACTTTACAACCATTTTTCACTCCGAGCGTTGACAACGGTTGTCCCATTTCTTTCAGTGACTTTCCTAATAGGAAAAGAATAATCAAACCCTCATATTCATTTTTGGAAATTCAACAAGCAAAAACAAAAAGAAAGCAAAGTTTAAATGCATTCACAAAATGACATGTGAAACAACTTTATCTTATAGAAGTATATTTGTATACATATGTCTATAAAAACGTAAGTACAATGTGTTTCCAAGAAGGTCATCAACAGTTATTTATTTATTTATTTATGTATTTATTTATTTATTTATTTATTAAATTTATATGCTGCCCAGCAGTGTTTATGACACCAATTTCTTTTAATCTAGGTAAGCAACATTTACAAATTACAGTAAACTATGGTACAATATGAGCAACAAGGGACAATTTTCAACATGTCACAGGATCCTGAGTTCACTCTTCTCCTAAGCAGCCAAGGAAGATTTGGATTATGTTTCTGTTTCAGTTAGCAAAATGTAGTT